CATTACCTGTTTTAACTGCAGAGATTTTGTTTGTGGGGGGAGGAGTGGTGGAGAGGGAGGAGGATGCTACTTGTTTCAAATCCATGGGGCATTAATGCAAATCCGAACCTTTGAGCTTCCTCAGCCTTCTCCTCAAACAACTTAGCCAGTCACAATTACAACTTTTGAGTTAGACTGCTTGCGAGACAGAATGTACAGAGATTATTTTTATATATATTTATTTTAAATATATATATATATTCTTACTAAATTACAAGAGTTTCATTTAATTGCTTCCTCCTTCCATATATATATGTATGTATTTTAAGAATTTAAGTAGAAATAAAGCTTTTGGATGCTTTTTAAACTGACTTGCTTTAAAGAAAATGTGTCCTGCTTTTTATATAGATTCATTTTCTCTGAAACACCTGAATTTTTTTAAAAAGGATAAAAATGTGATTTTTTTCTTTTTCTAATTATAAAATATGAAAATCAAAGCCCACATTAAAGGCAACAAAACACATTTAAGGTCTGGATCTTCCCACTTATAGAATAAAAGAGTCATCTAACATACACTGGCCACTATGACAAAATTCATGGCCCTCTAACTACTGGGGGACAATAATTTTTAAAACTGTGTTTTATTAAGGGTTTCCTGTGTGTTGGGCAATACGCGAAACAATGCATGTGCCTCCCCTCACTTAACCTTAACAGCAGTTCCGTGCAGCAGGAAATATTACAATCCTCATATCAAAGATGAGGAACCTGAGGTTGAGGTGCATTAAGTAACTTACAGTGAGATTGGAATTTGGAGGGCAAGAATAGAGAAAAAGAAAGAACAAACAAATGAGAAGCCTTCCATGCCCTAGAGGTTGCAGAACAAGAAGACAAGGTCCTGGGAGCTTACACAGGCACAAATCAGGGGCTGGGAGGGCCTACTGTAGGGTTTCTAGCCTTTCTCTTTTCCTCCACATACTTTCCAGTACAGAGCAAGGCCAACCACTGGAGAGAGGGGGGCCAGACTCACAATCTCCCAAGCTCCCTAACTCAGATGCAGAAAGGAACCCCACCCCCCTCCATCTCGCCAGAACTCTCCCACAACACCCACAGCCCTTTACACCACCCCCCTCCACTACAGGGGCTCAGAATATACAAATGCAAAGTAAAAGCAAGGATAAAGTTGCATCCTTTGATACCACTGGTAAAACAGATCACCAAGATAGGTCAGTCCTGGATCGCTGGCCTTGATGTTCTGACTATACACGCTATTACTAGTTGTTCAAACATTGAAATAATTCTATGCACCCCACAGACCCTGGGGACCACCAGCCCTCCTCAGGATCAGGCCAAAGAAAGGCCAGTGCCTGGTCCTGGTGCAAGAGGGGGTTCTCCGAGACCCTGCTCCCACTCCATTGCCCACCTACTGTCTGTTGTGATTGGTTACTGCCTACATCAAAGCTTTTGACTACCACCCTCAGAGCATCCACAGCCATGAAGCAGGCAGGAGCCAACAGATTATGCAGGGCAGTGCACCTGCTAGGTGACATCTTCCATTCCATATGGTGGGCAGAAAAACAGGATGGGTGATTATGGTGTTTTAACCACTCAAGGAACAAGAGATAATCTCTCCACTTTAAATCGCCCCACACTCATCATTTTCAAATGTATTATTACGCTTTCTAATGGGCTATTGAGAATCTGTATTCTGAGTTTGCCCATCTTTCTTCTTAAAGGCCAGAGAGCAGGGTTCTACAGTTTTTAAGGGAGATCAGTTATTTGAAAGATTTTAAAATTATTTCCAGCACTTACGTTTCCTCTAGACGAACAGGTGGGGATGCACCCCTGGGGCAGGGGGGATGCAAGTATTTCCCAAAGTCAGAGCCAAAAGGAGAAACACAGCAGTCTCCCCTGCTCAAAGACAGACAAGAAGGCCTCTCAAAAATCCTCTAGCTTCTCTTTCCCTTCCTAACAGTCCCACTAGAAGCAGGCGACAATGTTGGAAATTTTTCATTGCATAAAGGAAATTCAAAAGACACGTATGAATGTGAATTAAGCCAGCCTACGCATCAGAGACACTTCATAAAATATGCCATAAGATCTAAAAAGATTGTCCATGATTCCGTCATTGAGGTCCTTCTACCTCTTAAATAGAAAGATAACAATTGGATGATTTCTCAACAGGCAAACATAGAGATAAAATTAAAATCACAAACTAGCAAAAACTGACACAGGCTGACAAGATCACGGGAGCTATCTATCATACTTTCTAAGTTACTTCACAAACCATATCTCAGTGATTTCCAAGTGTGGTTCCCCGGACTGGCAGCCTCAGCAGCACTCAGACCTTATGAGAACTGCTGATTCTCAGGCCTTCTGAATCAGAAACCGAGGGTGGGACCCAGCGATCTGAGTGTTGCCAAGCCCCCTCTGATGATTCTGATGCATGCCCAAGCGTGCCTACTGGTTACTCCCAACCACTATATGTAAAACAGGTTAAAAAAAAAAATGTAGCATTCTCAAAGTTTTGCACAAGAGGCAGCAAAGATTCAGAAAAGTTAAGTGATTAACCTCAAGTCACACAGCTGACTGGCAAGAGAATCAGCAGGTAAACTCAAGCCTTTGGACTCAAAATCTAGTTCTCTTCTGTCTTCCTCACAAAGTATCACTAAGATGCAATATAATGAGCCAGATCACCTAAACTGGCTTGATTTGGGAAGGGCAAATATGAATTGGAACCCAGGTTCAAATGTGAACTTAGGTCACCTGTATCCACCTGAGGAGAATACAGGGGACCTGAGAAAGTCTGGTCTCCTCTTCGTTCAAGATCACCATGGAGACAGCCCGCCAAGGAACTTGCAGGAGAGTTCATCATATTCCTGATAACATGACTCCTGGGTGCAGTCTAGGTTCTTCCCTATAGAAGATCTGAGATTCTCAAGGCTCCCGCTCTTTAGTGCCTACATCCTTCCTGTAGGGTTTCCCAGGAAACTCACTGTTGCTGTGCTCAGAAGGAGCGCTTCTCACCTTCTTCAGGCGGTGTCTGACTGGTGGCCTCTCCATTACTCTCATTGCATCACTCCTCATCTCTATATGATCAGTGTTCTCAGTCATTTTCTGTCTCCTCCACCTATCATATAAGGTCTATAACAGCAGAGATTCTGTCTACATGCGTCACCACCTCATGAGCTAGGATAGGGCCTGGCATTATCAGGTAAGGAAGAAATACACATGCCATGAATGCACATGATAAAAATCATCTACCGGGATGTATCAAAATGTGTTCCATAGAAGAGCCTCATTTTCAAAGTGATGCTGCTTATCTTCTTCCAAATACGACATTCTGGACCATTGTTTAAAATCATCACTGTGAATAAATCCAGAGCTTATGGTGGAATACTCTTTTATATCTTGTAAAGTCCTTCTCTCTCTCTCTTCTTTCCGCCCTTACCCTCTTGCTCATCACATCAGCTCTCTATTTGAGACATCAAGATGGGCAAGACTGTTTTATTCATTGCTGAATTGCATTTTCTTTTTCGTTGTTGTTGTTTTCCTTTCACACAAACAAAGCATTTAATCTGTGTCTGAACTTATTGTTTAGATTCTACTCCATTTACAAAAACATCCAGTCGTTACAGTGGGACGGAAGAAGAGAAGTGTAAAGTCCTCAGTAAAAAGATGTAGGTTTACATCCTTGCCTACAGCATTTAATAATTAGCATTAGCTTTCAAGGAAGCTGTGGCTCATACTCCAAGTTCCGTTTACACTTCCAAATGGAGAAAATATAGACACAGACTCACTCAACTAAGTAATTGGATCTGCTACCTGGAATATTTAAATTGTTTTCAGACACTGGAAAATGGCTTAAGAAGATTAAAGAAAAATACCCTGGAGGATAACAGGCTATAATTTACTAGGTGGAAAATCTTTTCAGCAAGAAGAACACCTTATTCTCTGATAATTCCTCCTGTTTAAGAGATGTCTTCTTCATTTGGACCTAAATTTCTCTAGATCCTGACAGCTCAGATTGATCCCAGTGGATTGTTCTTATCACACCTTTTGAATGACACCCAGGACACATAAATTGATACCATAATGTCCTCCATCTGAAGATTCCCATGTTTTCAGCAAGATTATTAATAAAAGTGTCTGAAGGCAATGGTGGGGGGTGGGTGTCACTTGAAGCCGGGGGTCCAGGGCTCATGTGAAATCCTGGAGATCCGGGTCCGGGCTAAGCTCTGCCCCACTTGGCAAAAGACGTACATAAATGGTGGGGGAATGCCTTGCCGGGTCTGTTTTGAGCTGAGGACTCCAGCCAGCTCAGTTCCCAAAAAAACTAGCTCTCCTCATTTGCCCACAGGCCCACTGAGCACTCCTAGACCCCTCAGGGCTCCCGCTTCTGCCCTCTAGTCCTCCTCAGTTGTGTCCTAACCGGCCCTTCACAAGGCCCCTCACTCCCGAGCCAGGCGCTGAAGTTTGGCATCAGCGACCACCTGTCGGCTGGACCGCTGTGTTCTCTGCCGCGTGGGCTCCCATAAGAGCGCCAGGGCGGTTAGCCGTCACTGAACAGTTTCGGACTTCGAGGCTGTTCCTCCTGGAGAGGGGGCAAAAGAGGTTAAGGGGGGGTGCGTCTGCGGGCGGAGAGGGGCGCGTCTTGGTCACACCCCAGCGCTCTCCAGCTGGTCCCAACTTCACACTTTCCAAACTCTCAGGACCGTCCCTGGCAAAGCCTGCCCCTCCTGCTCCACTGGCCCCAAAGAGACAAGACCCTCAGGGGGCGCCTGCCAGACCGAGCAAGGATGGCAACTCCTGAACCCGTGGAGCCCAGGAGCGCGCGCTAAGCCGCTGCTCTCCGCCAGCCGCCTCGGCAGTGGCCACCCCGCGCGCCCCGAGGCCGCCCCGGCCCGATCCGGGGCGCCCATTGCATAACGCGCCCCTCGCCCCACCCCCACGCCGCCCGCCCCGTGCCCGGCCCCGTGCCCCGCGCCCCCGCTGGGGCCCCCAGCCCGCCGCCCCCGACTTACATCATCCCACTTGACGAATTTGGTGCCCTTCTTCAGGCTGTCGGACACGCACACGGGCTTGAGTTGCAAAGCGTGCACTCCGGGCTGAGCCCCGGCCATCTGGGCTCATCGGGGCTCCGGGCGGCCCGGGCGAGCGCGGCAGGGACGGGGCGCGGGGCGCGGGCTCCTTTCTCGGCTCGCGAGGCGCTCGACTCTGTTCTCCCGCCGGCCTCCCCCGGCCTCCCGGCCTCCGCACCTCCTCCGGCGCCGCTCAGCAGGCGGGGCGCGCGGGGGCCAGGCGCCGGGCCATGCCCCGGGCGGGACGCGGGGTCGGGCGCCCGCGGTGGCTGCGGAGCCTCGGAGGGCGAAGGGAAGCCGAGCCGGGCTGCCGAGGCTGCCAGCTGCCGCCGGGTACTGCTCCTCCGCCGCCGCCGCCTCGAAGCGCACCATTCAGCACATCCTCTATACACAGAGGGAGAGCGCGAGTGACACACGCTCGGCGCCCCCCCCCCCCCCGGCTCCTTCCCCTCCTCCCTCCTCCTCCCGCCCCGCTTCCCCGCCACCCTCGCTGGCTCGGTCCCTCCTTCCCCCGGCGGCTTCCAGCCCAACTTTGCGCGCTGGGTCAGGCGCCGGGAAGCGGGGACGCAGCGGCACCTCCCGGCTCCTGGGCCCCACTGCAGCCAACGCCTGCGCCGCCCGCGCGCCCTCTGAGCATGCCCCATGCCCCGGTTGCCGGGGTGCCCGGGGTGCCCGCGAGCCGCGCGTTCCCTGGGGCTTTCCGGGGAACTTGCGCCGGAGCCTGGAATGTCTTCGCATCCAAACTGGGTGGGGAGAGGGAGAGGTCGGGAGCGATCAGAGAGGCAGCCCCTAGCTGGAGCTCTCCAGCGCGGCCACAACCCAGCTCTTTGCAAAGACAATTATTATTTATTGGTAGAGAGGAGAGCAGTTGAGAGGCGGCGTGAGAGCTCTTTGGGGAAACCTTGCGGCGCCTAAGAGTTTGCAGCGCGCTGGTCTTGAAGCAGGGGCATGCGGTTAAGTCGTGCTTTTGAGAAAGAAAGTCCATCCTAAGAGAAACAATGGTTTTGTTTCCCATGGAGACAGAAGGCCCCCTCTCCACGTAGTGTGGTGTGTGTGTGTGTGTGAGGGAGAGAGAGAGAGAGAGAGAGAGAGAGACAGAGGGAGAGGAAAGACAAAGGAGAGAGAGGTGTCTTATGGATAGAAACTTGCTCATTTAGTAACATGAATCTAAGAATGTCCTCTTTCAACAAACATTTCTCATTTCGTAAAAAAGAGAGGACCCCCATCAAAATAGGTAAAATTTCAAATTGATAATACCAGTGTTTGATAGCATATAGAGCAACTGGAACTCTCATCCATTGCTGGAGAGAGTATAAAATGGTAAAGCCATTTTGGAGCAGTTTCTTATAAAAAGTCAAACGTTTACTTATCCTGAAACCCAGGACTTCCCAAGAGAAATGAAAATGTATGTTCGGGCGCCTGGGTGGCTCAGTTGGTTAAGCAACTGCCTTCGGCTCAGGTCATGATCCTGGAGTCCCGGGATTGAGTCCCGCATCGGGCTCCCTGCTCAGCGAGGAGCCTGCTTCTCCCTCTGATCCTCCCCCCTCTCATGTACTCTCTCTCATTCTCGCTCTCTCAAATAAATAAATAAAATCTTAAAAAAAAAAAAAAAGAAAATGTATGTTCACACAGACTTATGTAACAGTGTTCATGGATTTCTTCATCATAGCCCAAACTGGAAACTACATATGTCAATCAACAGGTTTAATGGGTAAACAAACAACTGGAGGAATTCTGGAATAGGCAAACTAGCCTATATTGGCAGAAAGCAGGTTATTAGTCACTTGTGGCCAGGAATGGGCAGGGATTGACAGAGAAGGGGCACCAGGGAGCTTTGGGGAGTGTTGGAAATGTTCTATATCACGCAGGTACACATTTGTCAAAACTCATAGAACTAAAATGATTACATTTTATCATAAATAAAATTTGTCTTGGGGCGCCTGGGTGGCTCAGTCGTTAAGCGTCTGCCTTCGGCTCAGGTCATGATCCCGGGGTTCTGGGATTGAGCCCAGCATTGGGCTCCCTGCTCTGTGAGAAGCCTGCTTCTCCCTCTCCCACTCCCCCTGCTTGTGTTCCCTCTCTCGCTGTCTCTCTCTCTCTCTGTCAAATAAATAAAATATTTTTAAAAAATAAAAATAAAATAAAATTTATCTCAATGAAACTGATTTTTAAAAAGAAGAAACAGTATATGAACAAAGAAAAAAATGAGAGAAATCTTCCTTTCTCTTAAGCATTTGTTCTCTCTAACCTCTGCCCCTACGGTTTTCCAGGCCCAGTGTTTATAAACTAAGTCAAAGCATTACCAAAACTTCAATGGGGAAATTTGCTTATTAAATAGTTCAGTGCATTCAAAAAATATGTATTGATCACCAGCTATATACTAGGCACTATAGGAATCACCAGGGATAACCTGGTGAACATACACCTGACTCCTGCTCTCTTGGGGGGGTGGGGGAGCTCACCTTGTCCTTGGAAGCCACTTGCTAGAAAGAATCCCTGTAAAGACTGACTTGTTTCATCTGGATCACATGTCCCTAAACTAAAATCTGAGTAAAACTCAGCCTGGCAGCCCTGGCTTGCCAGTTACCTTGCAGAAGTCTCTAGTCACGATCCCATGTTGCTTTTCCCTACTTTAGAGGATACAACAAGACTGCCTCCAGGGTTCCTGGCCTTCTCAATTGTCCTTACAATGGATCCTACCAGAGTGGTTCTTTTCTCTTTCCTATTCTGTTTTTTCTCTTTATTTGTCTTTTCTTTCCCCTTGCAATCTCTCCATTATCTACAGGAAGGATTCTTGGTCAAATAGGTTTTACCCACCAGAGTGGCTAAGGAAGGCAAGACAGATAAGAGATGTGCCCTCTAGAAGAGTAATTTGGAGGATTAGAAATGGGCTGTAACCAAATGAAAAGGTAGACCTAGCTTCTTCGTGGTGCCTTCCTTGTTCTTTTCCTTGCTCCTTTCTGTATCCACACATTTTGCCATGTGACCTTGCAGTTTTCAACTAGATGCCTGTGATTTATCCACCCCATTGATGTTGGACTGTAGCACTTGCTTTGGCCAATGGGATGTTAGGAGATATTGATGTGAACAAAGGCTTAAAATATGCTTGTGAGGTTGGGCTTGCCCCCTTGGGTTTCTTGTCATTGCCATGAGATAAACATATTTCAGGGAGCCACATGAGGCATACCAAGGCCTAATCCCCAGGTTAGAGGACAATCCGACAAAACCCATCCTAGATTTGCCAAAACCCAGTCAACCTGCAGACTTGTGAACATGACAATAGATGCTCATTGTTGGGGTGCCTGGGTGGCTCAGATGGTTAAGCATCTGCCTCTGGCTCAGGTCATGATCCCAGGGTCCTGGGATCGAGTCCCGCGTCGGGTTCCCTGCTCGGTGGGGAGCCTGCTTCTCCCTCTCCCACTCCCACTCTCCCTGCTTGTGTTCCCTCTCTTGCTGTGTCTCTCTCTGTCAAATAAATAAAATCTTTTAAAAAAATAAATAGATGCTCATTGTTGAATGTTACTGAGAGGGTCATTTGTTAGATACCATCATGGTAGCAGTAGCTGAGTGAGTCATTCATATAGCATTCTTGTTCCTTCCCAGCTGTTGCTGTGAATGTGCATATAAGGAGAATAAAGCTGTAGAATTCTGAAGAGTGTTGGTCTTTCAAGACAAACATGGGCTCCCAGAACTTCCTGTGCCAGCAAGAGAATGCAGTTTGATCCAGGAAGGCTATGGGATAAATCTCTTCAACATGTATGATGAGGCTTGAGGCAGGTTGGTTCAACCCCCTCATTTTCCACACCTCTGGGTAAGGATACAAGGCAGAAATACTTTTAAAGTGTGGGGATTTTTGTCGTGCAAAGGGACCTGTAGGGACGTCCAAAATTGTGTGAGCCAAGCCTATGATCCATCAAGTTCAGTGTTCTGTTTTTAAAACAATAGAAAGTTCTGTGTTTGGGGTTTTGTTTTTGTTTGTGTTTTTGTTTTTTTGTGAGAGCACAGATCTGCCCTCCAGAATGTCAGCCTCAGGGAGTTGGCAAAGCTAACCTTTACTGAGTATTCACTATAGGCCAGAGCGCTAAGCTAAGCACCTCCCAGACGCTCAATAACTTAATGCTTACTATTCAACAGCACCCTCCCACCCTCTTTTTCTTGTAAGGAAACCTTGATTTGATTCAGATGCTTAGGGAAGGTGCCCCCTTCCTCTTCCCAGGGAATGAACAATTATTGGTCTATTGGTCTAAACCAGTTGTAGAATCCTGTTCTCCTTAGTCTTTGATTGGTTTAGGAGGTGGTTAAGAGACCCAAATCTGGCCAATGAATTAGAAAGGTAGGGCTTTAGGGAAGCATTTCTCTCCCCCGACCCTCTCTCTCTCTCCGCAGTACATTGCTGTGTAAAAAGAATGGCCAAGTAGAAACATGCAAATATGGCCCTTCATGAGATTGTTAACTCTTTGACCACTTCTAGATTTCCTGATAAGTGTCTTTATTGCTTAAGCCATATTGTTACTCCCAGCTGATCTGGTGGACAATATTATTATCCCCCATTTTACTAATTACAAAGTTGAGACTTGGAGGGATGAATTAACCTGCTCAAGGTCACACAGATTAGAAGTGAGATTGAGACCAAAGAACACTGACTTTAGAACTTGCCTCTTCACCACTAGGCTAGTCACTTCTAGAACCTATAACTTAGATCTGAGCAATTTCTTTCTGCTTTCAAACACAATATGATATAAATATTCCCAATTTCCCTAGAAAACTATGGTATGTAGCCCAGTCTCTTATAATTCACTTACAGCCTGCCATCGTGGGACGAACTGGTGTTTTAATCTGAACAGACATACTTTCTAGCAACCAGTTCTACCAATTGCTAGCTGTGGGACCCTGGGAAAGTCTCTTACCCATCGGAATATTTCTAATATTGTATTTCCATACAATAGCCTAATGGGCAATGGGTAAAGAATTATGGTGATCAAAACTTAGTGTGTGCCAGGTACTGTTGTAAGGGCTTTACACTTTTAGTTCATTAGTCCTCACATGAACCCCTCACATGGATTACTATTCTTACCTCCATTTTATAGTGGAAGAAACTGAGTCAGTCAAGGGTTAAATGTTAGTCCACGATTTTTCAGCTAGTAAGTTGGAAGAACCAGAATTCAAACCTGGACAATTTGGCCCTAGAGCCAGTACAAGGAATCACCACCCTATGTATGCTATGAAGTCATGTGGGTAAGCCTCTGTCACATAGTGCTAATCAGTGGTAGTTAATGCATTTATAATTATTCCAAAAGGGTACTCTATTGCCTTAATGTGCCTTAGGATAACTTTTTATGAACAGTATTCAAAGACAGCAACATAATTTCTGGGGTCTGTGATCGAGTCAACTTCTTTTTGCCTGCACTGATTCTCTAAACTTTAATCATA